GCCCGGCCTCGGGAGGAGAAACGGTCGGCTCTGGCCCACGGGGAACGCTGAAGAGGCGCCGGTCTGGTCGGGGTGCGGGGTGGATGTGCTGTATGTTGTGTATAATCAAATAAAGTTAAGCTACAAATTTCGTAGTAGGTGAAGCCGTGAAAAGCCGAAATCAGGACTCAATAGTCAATTTGCCAGATTATCAAGCAGGAATTTGTTATTGCAGTGCTGGACGCACAGGGGATAGTTCCTCCTAATGTGCGTGCTGCACAAGGTTAGTTGCATAGCTTATATACAAGTTTTACATACGTATGACAATGAGTTCCCGAAATTCATTTACATATTCCCTTCCCAATCACGCATGCTCAGTGATTTGGCTCGGTGGTCTTTAGGGGTCCCCGGTGGTCATTGTGGAGAGGCTTCTCAATGGTTGTCTTCCATGACCTCCGGGCCTTTCTTCCATAGGTGGTCATAAGTTGACTACTGAGTGGCAAGGCCTGGTTCTTCTGCGCTGATCTTGGGGGTGGCTTCGGAGTGACTTGAAGAACCCATTCAGGATCTGTTAATCCTGTTACAAAGAGATACCGTCTGGAAAGCTCCCAGACAGGTTGGCATCTCCCACTGTGAGCCACATCCTACAGCTATCAGCATATTCTAGCTACAGTTGGCTTCACAAAGGTCTTTTTGTTAACCCTTTGGCATCTCTTCATAGGTTTCTTTGTTTTCCATTAGGTACCGCGTGGAGGCATGTACGTGCATAAGACGTGCCTACGGTTAATTTTAACAATGCTGTGAGCTCACTAGTTTTTTGTGGACCACAGGTTTAGAATATCGGTAATCTTCCATTCCTTCATGTCAAAAGGTGTAAATGTACTAGCACTAGGGGAGGCATGGAGAAGAGATTTGCCTGATGCATGCTTACATATGCATACTCCTCAAAACCCAGGTGTGGTTCTGTGCTCTCAATGTAAAGTCCAGTAACACTGGTTTTTGAATACAGACTGATAAAGTACGTTAGGCTTTGTCTTGTTTGTATGTTTGTTGCCTTGAATGGCAGTGAATATACTTAGTACTTATCCTTGAATCTTCTTACGCTTGTGTATGTTAAGACATACCAATGATACTTGATGATATTCCACTCAGTTTGCATTTACTTTAGCCATTTTGATCATAACAAGCATGTAAAAGTCCAGTCTAAAAAAATTATCAAATAACTCCTATAATCCATTAATTCAGCTTGTCCTTGGAGATACAACTGTATTTATTCCAACAGAAATACCTATAGCTACATGACTGTCCAGATAATAAGTTCAAAAGCAAATTACTAAAATCTCAATTTGTGAGAGAAATGCAGTTTTTTGCTTTGGTTGTGGTTAAGACAACTCACGTCCTATGCTATACATCTTCTGCCAGCTCTGTGGAATGTCAGCAGCGGCATAAGCATGAAACCTTTGAGTTTAGCAAGGGGACAGGCGTAAGTATCTTTGGTAAATAAGGGTACCTGACAAGCATCAGTCATGGAGTTTCTGTTTGCTTAACTGTGGCAGGCAGTACATCTCATCCATTCATTACAGGGTATACTTACATAGCCTGTTGATTTGTAGAGTTTTAGGACCAATATGCGGTAAATGCATCTTTTTGCGTTCTTCTTTCAGCCACTGGGGTTATCCCCGTGTATGACGCATCCTGTTTTAAAGGAAAAACCTGATCAATTTTTCAAAGCTATGACTGTCAGAACCCTGACCCATGGTGTATGCTTTTGCTCTCCTGAGGCTGCTCAACTTTACATAGTTCTGTTATTGATTAAGAAAATATTTAAGACTTTCACTGCAAGAAAGCTGTAGGGTAAAGGAAAAAAAAATGAGGAAGGTGTTGGGAGCTAGTAGCTTAGCGTCACGCAGTGTATAAAAGGCTTTAAGTTGCCTCTAAAAAATGAGACTGTTTGTAATACAGAAATGTAATTTACGTGCCAGTGAGACATCTGGTATTGGGGAAGAAAAGGTGATGAAACCAGTGTCCTGGTTCTTTAAGCTGTTGTGCTTTTCATCAGTTCATGTGACACTGCTCATTATTTTTCCCCTGAACAAAATTACCTAAAATAAATACCGTGGTTTCTGTGTTTCCTTTTGGTTTCTTTAAAGCTTACATTCAAACATAATTTTTCTGTATGTATGAACCGTCTTTGTGTTTCTGCTTAATAAAGCCTACTTTGTAAAGACAGATGCAAAACCTGCGTATTTTATTGCGGTGGCAGCTAAAAAGAGCATAGCAAACCTAGATCTGGGTGGCACAGTTGGAGTGTTTTATTCTAAGGTATTTGTAGGCCAGACGTGCGACATGAGAAAGCAGTAAAGTGTTGATGGATACCAGGAAGTCGTATTTAATTATTCCGTTAGGTGGCTGCAATTGAAGTAAGCCAGGTACTGAAGATCTCAGTGCAAGCAAAACCGTTTGCTTCAGACTGATTTGGATGACAGACGGAAGTGATTAAGGCTGTTACTCTTTGAGGGGAATTGGGGAAAAAGACTGTAAGAGCCATGAAAATAAAGAAGAGGATGCACTGAAGAGCGTTGCAACTTACTGATTCCTGATACAGTAGTGAGGGGAGCACGATCTGATTGAAACAACAGGAAAAGAAAATCCTTGGCATTTCAATATTTTGTGGAATGTAACAGTCTTAAAGCATCGTGGCTCCTGGAGAAGTAGGTTCCTTCAAGGTACTACTAGTCTGTATGGTACAATGTAGTTCAGCATTGCAGAGAAAGGAGTTCCTGCAAATTCATACAATGATGCCAGATTTTTTTAGTTACGTTAACCTGCAAAACAATGCGGAAACAGAAATTAAGTTCAGTTTTGTGACCAGTAGCTGCCAAACAGGCCCATGCATATATCAAAATATCAACTGGTAGGCAGAGGCATAACTTTAGTACGATTTGCATGGGTGCATTTACTTCTTTCTTGCCTGTTGCCTCTGTTTAACTATTTCTGTATTAAACTGTCTCCATTTTCTTACCTGTACTTGGATGGACAGCTTCTCCTGCCAACTGGACTTTATTTTTCTCTGAAAAATGTAGATGATTCACATGGTGTAAAAGAAGGAAGATCTTTTAGAAACACCAACATCACTTCGGTCAGCGTGCCTGCTTTTTACAACTGCTACTTTTTACAACTTACGTGCTCAATATGCTATTATGATGTGAAACAGTGAAACTGAGAATGTTAAATGTATGGCTTATAGTCAGGATTTAAATATCAGCGTACATCACCTAGCAAGTTGCCTAATTGTATGTAAGAAGACAGTATCAGTGTTGTCTCTGCTTACGGCGAAGGTGAGCAAAGAAATGTTTCTCTCTGAGAAACTCTGTGCTGA